AAGTTGATTGCAAAATCCGGGAGCTGGAGTGTTTATAATGATTAGGTGAAAATAGGAAGCACCTGGGACCAAATAGCTTGTGAAACTAACAGTTGAGGGAATGAATGAGTAAGCAGAGTGCTTAAAGCAGGTGTCAGGTGAGGCAGGGAAGTAAGAAAAGTAGAAAAAGTGGAAATTGTTAGGGGTGCTATGAGAACTGAGAAATTAAGGAAGAGAGGATTTACTGTTTCTTAGTTACTGATCGATGTGGTGATTTTTAAAATTACCCATGATCTTGGTAGGAACCATTTATTTGAAAATTGCAGGTAAAAGCTAGTGGAGAACAAAGATGAGTCTGGAGGAGAAAAGCGATGGATTGATCAGAGGTGAAGATACTGACTTTAGAATTGAGGTAGAAATCCAGTTTTGAGTTTGGAAAGAAAATGTTTGAATAGAAACAGTTTTAAAATTGTGTTTGTTTTTTAATTTATGAGTAGATGAACATCCCCCGTAAGCAAAAGGCTTTAAAAGAGTTGAATAAGCTATGGAAAACAGTATGTAGTATAAGATCTCTACCATTACTATATGCTTTGTTAATTGAACATAAAGTCCTAAAGTCAGTTGAATTATTACTAGTTTTATATACCTAAACAAAAGTTTTTGGGTTTGGGGGGTGGGGGAGAGGGATGAAAGGGAAAGGATCATGGGAAGAAAATCAGATTTTTCTGTTGTCTCTGAAGAATCCTAAAACTATTAACACCAACAGATCCAGTTCTCTTTTCTTCTCTGAAAAGATGATAAATGGCTTCTATGTTTTATAAGATGACTGATGCCACCCATTTTCTTTGGCCCTTTTTCATTTCTAGGCTTGAGGTGTTTTTATACATAAAAATAGGCCATTGTAAGATTAAAGGAGTTCCATTTCCTGGTTTCACATTCTCACAGTATCAATTATTTGAAGTGAAGATTTCCATAATATTTAACATTAGAGTAAGAATACTTAGTAGTCACCTTCTTGAAGTAAATTTTGACAGTTATACAGTAGCTGGGTTGGTCTGTGGGAGCAAAAGATAGATCTTTTTTAGGCTATTCATATATAATGTGAAGTTTGTTTGGGGGGTCCTTTAGTAGTAGTTTAATAGAACAGGCAGGCTAGACTTGGTAGTTAACACCTATAATCTAAGTACTTTGGGAAGCTGAAACAGGAAAATTGTGGGAGACCAGGAGTTCAAGAGTAGCCTGAAGTACATAGTAAGATCCTGTCTCTATTGAAAGGAAAAAAAAAAGAGAGAAAAATTAGCTATGCATGTTGGCACACATCTGTAGTCCTAGCTATTGGAGGTTGAGGCAGGATTGCTTTGAGTGCAGGAATTTGAGATTGTGGTGAGCTGTGACGATACCACTGTACACCCCGTCCAGGCAACACAGTGAGAGACCTTATATCTAAAGAAGTGAAAAAAAAAAAAAAAAAGAAAGAAAAAGAAAAAAGAGTTCAGGCTGTGGAGTCAATAGAGTTTTAATCCTTTTTCTCCTACTTTCTGTCTTTACCGCTTAGTAACTGTGTGATCTTGGGCATTTAACTACCTCTTACCTTTTAAGTGGCATTAATAGATCGTGATAATGGCCATCCTAGAGTTGTAAATTGCCTGGCATGTAGTTAATTTTCAGTGAATATTAAATGCTAATGCAAAATAAAATTTTGTCTTTCCTGTATTTTTCTAAGAAACCAAGATATTAATTCCTGATTCTCAGAGGTATCCCATCTTTATTGTTTGACTTCTACCCACCATGTACCATCTAGAATGTATCCAACACAAATCCAAAATAATAAACTATTAATTTTCTTAATAATTGGTTTAGATAGGTTTTCAGAGATTATATTCTAAAAATCAGTTGGAGGAAAAAAAAGGCTTTTACCCCTATAGGCACCTTATAGGTGTTTTCTTTATTTTGGTGTTTTTTTGTTTGTTTGTTTTTGGCTGGGGCCGGGTTTGAACCCGCCACCTCTGGTATATGGGGCTGGCACCCTACTCCTTTGAGCCACAGGTGCCACCCTGCTGGGTTTTTTTTTTGTTTTTTTTTTTTTTTTTTTTTTTTTTTGATTTCTCCCAGAAGGAAGGACAGACCAAATTTAGAAGAGCTGAAATTTTGTCTTGTGTATCCTGATACCATAACTTACGACACAGGGGTTCTGGGTTGGATAATGAAGTATTTGTCTTTGTTATTCAAACAAACTGATAAATAAGAACAGACTAACAGGTTTCTGAACTCAAGACTGTTTTGGCTAAGAAAAGGCCTTCATGCCATAGCAGAAGAATATATGTGCATGCCAATTATATGTTTTAAGGTATATGTGTATTTTTTCATTCTTTGTTTTAACTTACATTTTTAATTAAACCCAATGGTGATTTTATTAATTATATAAGACAGAATAGAAAGTCAAGCCTCTTCTTTTGACAAATTTAGATGCCTGTCCTTTATGAACAGCTTTCTGTAGTTTTTTTCTTTTTTTAATTTCTGGAGTGATGAGCAGCTAGCTCACCAAGATTTTCAGGGTAGTCTGTTTAGAAGCCAGAGTTTACTACTCTTCTGTTTCAGGGCAAACCTGAGGGGATTTTTAAGTGCCTTCATTGACTATTCAAGTATATAAACTTAAATGAAACTCTTAGCGTAAAATATGACTTAAATATAGCTTGATAGATAACTCACCAAGTGTGAGTTCACGTATTATCTCCTGGGGCTACTTTCTCTGGTTATCCAATAAAGTCATTATCACCATTCTCTTCCACTCTTGGCAAATTTACTTTTAATCACATCACTCTGTTTTACTTTCTTCGTAGATAGCGTTTACCACTATAAGAAATTATCTGGTTCATGCAGTCCATATCTCCTATTAGACCAGTGTTTTTCAGCCTGTAGTTAAACTTCCATGGCACACTTAAATTATGTTGGTCAGGAAAAAGTTAAAAAGAAAAAATTGTGTAAAAGTCTTCCCTTTTTTTCAAATGTGTGTTGAGCTTTCAGATAATATGTTTAATTAATGATATTTATAAATTTTCACAGCACACTTAAAATCTTCTCATGGTACACTGGTTGAAAATCACTGCACTAGACTATAGAGCATCAGGAATCATATTTGTCTTGTTCATTGTTACATCACCAGAGCCTAAAACAGTGCCTGATACTTAGTAAATATTTAAAGAATTAATGAGTGAGTGAATTTTGAAAATACTTAAAGATCAAGATGATCTTAGAGTTTTATAGATATTGTTGAATGTACACACAAATTATATTGCTTATAGATTGTGTTGAATGTTTTAGGAAATACCATAAAGTACCTAAAATTTTACTCAAAATTGAGTATTCGTGTATATTTCTGAATGTGTAAGGATCCTTCATTTTTAGTGTTAGGAATGTCCTTGAATCCCTAGAAGATTAAGAACCATCAGTCCGGCATGGTGAAATAGACTACAATACAAGGTCTTGAAGCAATTCTACTTAAAACACAACTGATTTTATAGGCATCTTTAACACAATAATTGAATCCCACATTCAATTATAGTGTTTTATTAGGTCAAGATAGGTCAAGACATGTGTGAGCTATCTATGCTTTATGAGGTTCTGCACCCCAAACCAGCGTAAGTTAAATATAGCTCTTGTGGCAGTTAATGTTTTAGTAATATTTTTGCTTTTGGTGCAATTTTGAATGCAGATAACAAATGATTTGTTGATTTAAATATATTAGTTTAAGGCTCAGGGTAACAGAATAAGGTACTAATTTCATGAGTGATTTATGGTAGGTTGATGTTAAAATACCATATAATATTTACATAGGTGGATTAGGTGGTACTGTTAACGTAGTAGGAGAGGCTTAGTATAGATAAGCCTTTATGTCGATTGACTGCATAATTTTATGGCATTGGCACCTTTAATCTTACTTTTGAGTCTAACAATTTTGTAGTTTTTGGCTGGGGCTGAGTTTGAACCCACCACCTCCGGCATATGCAGCCAGTGCTCTACTCCTTTGAGCTACAGGCACCACCCTTGAGTATAACATTTTTGAAATGGAATAATTTATCTCTCAGGTGAAATTATAATCTTTTTTTTGAGACAGAGCCTCAAGCTTTCGTCCTATGTAGAGTGCCTTGGCATTACAGCTCATAACAACCTCAAACTCCTGGGCTTAAGTGATTGTCTTGCCTCAGCCTTCCAAGTAGCTGGGACTGCAGGTGCCCACCATAATGCCCAGCTTTTTTTTTTTTTTTTTCCTTGGTTGTGGTTGTCACTGTTTGGCAGGCCCCGGTCAGATTCCAACTCACCAGCACTGGTGTATGTGGCTGGCGCCTTAGCCACTTGAGTTATAGATGCCACCCATGAAATTATAATCTTATAATTGTTTAAGATTATAATCTTATAATCATGTAATAGTTTCACTTTTTTTTTGGTATTTCTATTAGTCTGTCATAAGATGATTAAGTTGTAAGATACAATCGTGCTTCACTTAATGATGGGGATATGTTCTGAGAAATGCTTTGTTGGGTGATTTCATTATTGTGCACATATAATAGAATGCATTTATACAAACTTAGATGGTACAGCTTACCACATACTTAGGCTTTAAGGTCTAGCCTATTGTGCCTAGGCTATAAACACACCATGTTACTGTACTGAATACTGTAGGCAGTTGTAACACAATGCTAAATGTATGTGTATTTAAACATTTTTAGATACAGAAAAGGTACAGTAGAAATACAGTATTATAGTCATATGGTATCACCATCATATATTTACGTGAACCACTGTTGACCAAAATGTAATTATGTGGCACATGACTATAATTGTATTCTGTAGTCATTGTATGTTTCTCTGAAATTTCATTTTAATGTTTTGGCATATCAATGTATATACTGTTTATAGGTTTATTACTTAATGAAAATTTTAACTGATAACTTTATTTAGTAATAATTGCTGGATATGATTTTCTCTATTTTAAAAGCTCAGGATTTTTTAATGTCTTTCAGCCAATGGTAATGATAGTAAAAAATTTAAAGGAGAAGATAAAATGGATGGTGCTCCTTCTCGTGTACTTCATATTCGAAAATTACCTGGTGAAGTGACAGAAACTGAAGTTATTGCTTTAGGCTTACCTTTTGGTAAGGTGACCAACATCCTTATGCTGAAAGGAAAAAATCAGGTACAGTTCTTTTAGGGTTTAATGAAATGATAAACCTCATACTACCCAGAAGGTGTGGATTTGCCACCTAATAAGAGAGTAGAAAATGGATTAATTTTCTGAAAGAACATAACAGAAGCCTTACTCTAATTTTTCTTGGTAGATGTCTGTGGGAAAGTACTAAATTGCCAAAATGAATAAGTCACTTAGTTTTTGGATTTTGCATTTTGAGTTCACTTTAGGACTCTATTTGAACAATGTCCTAAATTTAATATTTTAGGACTCTACTTACAGTGAAATTAGAAAATAAAAAAGAAGTATTTATTATGGTTCTGTTCTTTCTGATATCAGAAATTAGTAGGGGTAATAGTAGCATTTTATATGGAAGCTTATCCCATAAAAATATTTATCTGATAACATTAGCAGAAATTAGGGAGTAATTCTGGATATTATTCTTTCAGTAGGTTTGACTGTATCATCAGGGCCCAGGTATATTAAACACTAAATTTCATTTTAAAATTTCTAATGTTATCATTTAAAAGAATTTATGAAAATTAACTTTCCTGTGAATATAGTAATATTATAGTTAACCTAACAATTAAATTTTATTTTTTTCTTTGTGTATAATTATACTGCTAATGATTTCTGAGAGCAAACATTCTCTAGGGTAGAAGTACTAAAATTCTGGTGCTACAAAATGTTTACACTTTCTCTAGCTTTTATTGGGGTAAATAGATTTGTAGGATGTGGAAGATCAATAGGTGGAGGGCAGAAGTAAAGGTACTTGGTTAAGTTTAATTGTATAGGTAAACTTCAAAAAGAGATTTTTAATTGTTCTTACTAGAACATTGAAATGTCACTTAAAAGGTTATATTCTATGTAATTGATATTTTTAAATTAGCTGAATAGATTACACAGACATTGAAATTTATTTGAATTTCATGTGTATCATTATAATTTTTGTTATTTAAACTTTCAGGCATTTTTGGAACTAGCAACAGAGGAAGCAGCTATTACTATGGTTAATTACTATTCTGCTGTGACACCTCATCTTCGTAACCAACCAATTTATATCCAGTACTCCAATCACAAAGAATTAAAGACAGATAATACATTAAACCAAGTGAGTATGTGTAGGTAAATAAGTAAAATGGCCTAGAAAATTTTAAGAATCTTATAAACATAGTAATAAACAAAATAATTAACCACTCAAAATATTTCTTTAGGTATTTTCTTGATTTTTTTAATGATATTTCAAAAATATTCACCATTTTTATGATATTTTCATGCAGAATGAATATTCCTAAGTATTAAATATTGTGGAGATTTGAATTCTTTTTAAGCAAGCCCTGGCCAAAGTGTTCTTTTTTTCTTGTTGCAAGTTAAAATTTTTGTATAAAAATTGTTTAAAAAGTAGGACTTACTATCATAAAATGATTTATACAACTCTTCAACTTAGACTTTAAGGTATGAAGTTCAGTGCCTTTGGTTATTTGCCTTTTTATAGGTCGTAATTTCTTATGGAAAAATTCCTTTTGAAGATGTGTTAATTGATTTTTCTGCAAAAAAATCTTAAGGAAGAAAAATACAGGAATGTATGTGTATTGATGTTTTTAAAATACAATGTAAAAGATAATGTATTAAAAATAATATAAAAATATTTTTAGATGACTTAGATATGTAGGACTGTTATAATTATCTAAAAATTTTAGCTCCTTTATTATAGGTTTTAAACTAATTATATCTTTCTGTTTCAATAAAATATGAATGTCTTAACAAAAATGTAATAGAAAATGGTAACTGATTTTTGTCTCTTAAAATCATTTTGATAATTTATGAAAAATAAACTTACAAATTTTTGCTTAAAAAATAGGGCTAAAATTTCAATTGTTTTTATAATCTGATAATACATTTTTCATTTCTTTTGAACAGACTGTATACTTTATCATTAAGTAGTATAACAGGAAAATATCTACTCTATTTTTACTTAGTTTTTTTGCAATTTAATTTTTTATTTTTCATTAACAGTTATATATATTTATGGGGTATAGTGTGAGTTCTTGATTCGTATATGCCTTATGGAATGATCACATCAGGCTAACATCCATCACCCTAATATTTGTTTGTAGTAAGAATATTTAAAACCCATATAGCTGTTATGAAATAATTCAGTTGAATGTGGAAAGACTCAAACTATTTTTCTTCTGCTCTCATATCACAACAGTTAACACAGAAGATTTCGTGACTAGATGTAGGGAAAGTTTTCCCGCAAACCAAGCAAGCAATTAGTTCTGCAGCAGGCATTGGCTGGGTGTCCTCTACCCCCATTGAGTTCCAGTACCACCTACTTGGATATATTGTCAGATCATACAAGTTGTGAGGGCTCAGTCTCACGAGCCCTTTCAAACTAGTTGTAAATCAGGCCTTTGGCATCAGCCAACTTTAATTGTGTTTGATTAATTTGCTTGAGTGACTTGCAGAACCCAAGAAAATATTTATGAATGTTTACTAGTTTATTGTAAACAATATAACAAAAGATGCAGATGAAAAAATACATAGTGCAATGAGCTTCCATGCCTTACCCCTCCAGGAACCTCCCCATCTTCAGCTATTCCAGAAGTTCTCCAAACACTATCTTTTTGGGTTTTTATGGAGGCTTCATTTCATAGGCACGATTGATGAAACCATTGGTCATTGGTGATCAACTTCACCTTCAGCTTCTCTAATCTCATGACTTCCTCTTTCAGGCCACTAGCCCCCATCCTGAAGGGGCACTGCTGCCATACATCAGTTAACTGATCAGCATACAAAAGATATTAGTTTGGCAATTACAAGAACTTTAGGAGTTGTTTATCAGGAAGTAGATTGAAGACCAAGTACATGTGTATTTTATAGCATCACAACAATACATTATTATTAACTATAGTTTTCATGCCATCTAGTAGAGCACCAGAACCTATTCTTCTTAACTGAAACTTTATACCTTTTGACCAACATCTCTTTCTCTGTCTACTCCCTCCCCTCCCTGCTTCTAGTAACCCCATTATTAGTGTAAGTTCAACTTTTTAAAGGCTCCACATATAAGTGAGATCATGTGGTATTTGTCTCTCTATGGGGGGCTTATTTCCCTTAGCACTGTGTCCTCCTAAAATGGCATTTGATACCTCAATTTTACTAGTATTTTTATTAAAGTAATTGATGCACACTTTTTTATTTTAAAAGATATAAGTAAAAGTTATGTGTAAAAAATAAAAATAGTCTATAGATAAATGTCAATGGGTGAGGGGGGCTTGTGATTTTAAAAAAAGTTAACCAGCGAAAGCCCCCTTGAAAGAGGGATGTTTTGAAAAAACAAGCTTACGAAGTGGCTAGGGAATAAGCTACTTAATTCTAGACAAAGGGAATAATCAATGCATAGTATCTTTTGTTGAAGAAAAAGTCTTGCAATATTTTTAATTTTGAAAAACTCTTCAGTTCTTCTTTGGTTATCCTTTTTACGTTGCATTTGGTTAATCACAGTTCTTTGAGGATACTAATTACAATATTGAATATATTTTATTTAGTGAGACAATCTCACTCTGTCACTCTGGGTAGAGTACTGTGGCGTCACAGCTCACAGCAACCTCAAACTCTTGGGCTTAAGCAATTCTCTTACTTCACCTTCCCAAGTAGCTAGGACTACAGGTGCCTGCTGCCACAATGCCCAGCTAGTTTTTGTTTTTGTCGTTGTTGTTTAGCAGGCCCTGGCTGAGTTTGAACCCACCAGCCCAGGTGCATGTGGCTGGCAACTTAACCACTGAGCTACAGGCACTGAGCCAGTATTGAAATATTTTAAAAATACATCATTATGAATTACCTTTTCTTCAGTGTTAGCTTTTATGTTTATATCGTTCTCACTCTCCTTCCCTGTCTCCTCCCCCCTTTTTTGTCTGTTCATGTTGCAGAATGGACATTGGGTTTTATTGGACTTGTATGCTTTCCTGAGATGGATAGTAAGCTGGTACATCCATTCTCAGCCCCAAAGGCCTTTATACCTTGCAAACAAACTCATTGTAGAATTTTTGGTTCCTTTAAGGCAGGACTTTTAAATTGGTTTTTTCTTTGAGGTAAAGGGACATAGTGGTCAGAGGCGAGGGCTAAGAGGAGTTTAACTATGTTCATTAGCTAGACTTTCCATTTATCCTTTAGTTTTCACTCTTTCTTCCTGTGAACCTGCCAGTTTCTGAGCTGGTTCTTCGTGGCAAACCAGTGTAACCCCTGTTTGCTTATGTATTTATTGTGTCTTCTGTCCCTTTGATTCCATTCATTTTTTATGTTATAAAAATTAGATAAATTATTTTCAGCTAATGATGATCTTTCTTCTTTTCAGTGTTTGTGTTTATTTCATTTTATATTTTTTCACCTGTAGGCATTATAATAGGATTTCATAACAAAAGAGTGGCAAATAATACGTGTGTTAACCATGAGTTCTTCCACAACCGTGGAAGAACTAAATAGAGCTCTACCCTTCTACCCCACACTTTACGTTGCTAAATACCAACTTCTCAGACATAACATAGTCACCTCTTGGCTCTGTTACTACAATAATTTGCATTCGTTCTTTTCTCTCTTGAAATCTTTCTCCCTATAGCAGCCAGTGTGTATTTTTCTGTAACCTGAGTTACTCCCCTATAGTAGGTGCTTTTCATGTTCAGGAGAAAGGCCCTTTCTGAGATTGTTTTCTGTCTCACAGCTACTCCTACCCTATTTGCTCATGCTTTGTCCCAGAAGTAGATGGATCCTCAAACTTGGGATGCTATCTCTTGTTTTCAGTCTTTTGCTGCCATTATGTCACTGTATTCTCACTTATATGTGGAATATTGTGGCCTGCCTATCTTTGCTCTATCCTTCTACCCCACACTTTACATTGCTAAATATCTTTAGGTCTTTCTTTAGCTATTTTTTCTCTAGAAAGGCATCTCATTACAGAAATAGTGAATTAGATTCAGATTGAGGATCTTAAGTGCAAATTAAAATCACAGTGGTATATACATGCATGTATACCAGATTGGTTAATAATAAAAAGACAAGTAGTATCAGATGTTGGAGATAATGTAGAGAAACATGAATTCTCATAAATGATGGCAATGTAATTGGTAAAATTATTTTTGAAAATTTAATATATACTAAAGTTAAGCGTAAGTATTCTTTGTCTTAGTCCACTTCTTGGTTACATACCTGAGAAAACTGTGCGTGTGTATGTATGCACATCAAAAGATACATATGAGATAGTTCATGAAACACTATAGTAATAGCTTAAAACTGGAAATGATCCAAATGTCAGGAGCAGTGGAATGTTTTGTGGTATATTCTTTTTTTTTGAGATAGTCTCAAGGTGTTGCTTTGGTAGAGTGCTGTGGCATAGTTCACAACAACCTCAAACTCTTGGGCTTACATGATTCTGTTGCATCAGACTCCCAAGTAGCTGGGACTACAGGTATCCACCACAACGATCGTCTATTTTTATTGTTGTTGAGTAGGCCTGGGCCAGGTTCGAACCCACCAGCCTTGGTGTATGTTGCTGGTGCCCTACCCACTGAGCTTTGGACACCCCCCGTTTTGTGGTATATTCATTCAGTGGAATGCTGTCTAAAAGTAAGAATGAATAAGTTACTGCTATCTGCAAAATATGCATGTACCTCTTACAAAGAAGCTTGAGGAAAGTAGAACATGCAATAGAATCTTACATGATTCCACCTAAATAACTTGTAGGAAAACTGAATGTAGCTTCTAGAATGTTGATAATACTCTTATTTTTTATCTGGATAGTTATTTCACAGAGATGTCTAATTTGTGTTATTAAGCTCTGTACACTTAGGATTTGAGTCCTTCTGTGAATGTATGATATATTGATAAGTTCAATTAAAATTTAGGTTGGCAAGCCAACTGTGATGTGTGAATTAAAAAAAGATGTGTGATGTCATTTGTTATTGATAAGGGGGCATATGATTAAGCTACAAAAGGAAGTTGGACAACAATGACTAGTATTGAAAAAAGTATTAATAAGTAGATAGATACATTCATATATACTTGTATGTGTAGATAGTATTTATGGAAAGATAACCAAGACAATAGGTGAGGATTTGGTAGGGGAAAACAGGCTGAGTGACAGTTGCAGGGGAATTTTGAATTTTTTGTACTACTTGGATTGTATACCATGATCAAGTGATTACTATTTTAAAAACATATGTTATTATTTGAAACAGATTTTAGTGTTTTTCTAAGTTGCGATAGTCATGCTTGTTAGCATAGATAAGTATTTGTAACATGTTCACTACTAAAGAAAGTAAAATTGCAGTGAGCTACTTGAGATATTTTATTTCAATATATTCAGACATTTAAATACATAAATAATTACTGTAGAAATCTAGTTTTACCTACTTAATAACTTTGTCCATAGTAGTTCAAAGTGTCTATTAACTATCGTGTTTTAAAATGTTGAGTTTAAATTAATGAGTCACTTCAGTGTCTTAAATTTAAGTAGCATTTAAATGATGAGGTTTGTCTAGACCAGTGGTTCTCAACCTTCCTAATGCCTCCTAAGTTCTCAACCTTCCTAATGCCTCCTAATGCTGTGACCCTTTAATACAGTTCCTCATGTTGTGGTGACCCCCAACCATAAAATTACTTTTGTTGCTACTTCATAACTGTAATTTTGCTACTGTTATGAATCGTAATGTAAATATCTGATATGCAGGATGTATTTTCATTGTTACAAAGGGATCATGACCCATAGGTTGAGAACTGCTGGTCTAGATGAATATGTGGTCTCTTTGAGTCTCAAACTATATGATTTCTGGTTATATAGTATTTCAGTAAAATGACTGCTATTATTTCCATAAATGCCCTAATTCTTTGGTATTCTCTTTCCCTTTTATTTGTTAATGATCAGCTTATATTCCTATTCATTTGCTAATATAGATTTTTCAAGCTATAAAGCAATGTAGAGGTATTTGTCATTGTTACATTTAGCTATATGTTTTTATATGTTTTCTGAACACATACGGTGGAAATGATTATCTTAACAGAGAATCTGTCACAAAAAATAAGACCTAGTAGTAATAAAAATAGTCTTTTAGAGTATTTAACATTTGATTGATATACTTCCAAAAAATACTATGTTTATTCAAATGTATATTATTTATATTTTAAAATATCTTGAAAATCAAGGTATATCTTGCAGTAGTTGATTCATCAGAGTTTAATTGGCAACATCTTATCACACATAAAATAACAGTTCATTTTACAATTAATGGTATTTTTGATACTGTAAAATACATGGCAAATATTCATCATATCATAAAGTTTTCTGAAGATGCTCTGGTTTTATACTAGAGCAGCAGTCCCCATCCTTTTTGGCCCCTAGGACTGGTCGTGGAATACAATTTTTTAATTTTTCCATTGTTGGTGGCTGGGGAGGAGCTCAGGTGCTAATGCCAGGTGTGGAGAGTAAATGGCTTTGCTTTCAGTGGCCCCCCATTTACCTCCTGCTGTGTAACTGAGTTGCTAAGTTTTGTGGAAGACAAATTTTCCATGAAGGGGTGGGGTGGTAGAAGGGCAAGTAGGGGAGTTGGAGCTCTGCAGCCCAGCTTTGCTCCTAACAGGTTGCAGACCACGGGACTAGCGCACACATCAGCCTTTGTTTTAAAAATTTTGGTGTCAGACGTTAACAGTAGTGTGAAAAGAGATTTACCATATTTTACCATGTGAAATGTGTGTAATATGCATCTATGTTTTTAGCCCAGACGTCTAGGAAAAACTCCCCTTGAGAAAATGAAAATGGCCAGCTTTTGGCTAGGAGAGAGACACCTGAGGAGGGCTAATACTTCCCTGGTAAACATGCTATTGCACTGCCCTCCTGCAGCTACCCATTCTTTGAAGGCTGTCCCTTTCTCTCCTTGGAGCCCTGAGCCCTTTCCTCCCCACCACATCATGGCTGGTGAGGCAGGAGATTCTGAGGGTGGTAGGCTCCTGAGGCTGGTAAGCCTTGGGGCAGCCAGGAAAGTGCTGGGGCCTGTGGGGAGCCCCTGATGCACTCACTTGGGCTGGGCTTTGAGCCTTGGCTCTCACCTTGCATGGCCACGGCCCACTTTGCTGGTCTCACTACTGCCTCCTCCCCTGATTGTGGCACTCAGAAGAAGCCACTCCAGCCTGCTCCCACTGAGTCTTGGCTCCTCTTAGACTAGAACCTCGTGATTCTCAGTGGGCTCAGGTAGGAGGGCAAGGCAGCCCCAAGAGGTCGGCTGGGCCTACCCTCCTCCCAAGTTGTACTACTCATGTGTAATATATATCCTTATTTTCCCCCCCAAATTGGGATAAAAACATGCACATTATACATAACAAAATACAGTATTTGTATTCTAAGTATTCCTTTTTAAAAAGTATATTAGAAGTAATAAGCTTTATAGGAGATCTATACCATTAACCATTAACCCTCTTGTTGAGATTTATCATGTAACTGTTTTGTGTGGTGAATATTTATTTTCTGAAAGTTTCTGTTTAAAACATTTTTGTTTATATAGATCTTCCAAATGTCATCTTACATCACCTATCTGCCTGTTGAACATTGATCCCAACACTTAGATAGGGTGACCAGACGTCCCACTTTTGGCGGGACAGTACCGCTTTTTAACAATTTGTCCTGCGTCCCGCAGTGTTTTAAAAAAGTCCTGATTTTTGGAAAGAATGCACAAACAGGCTGGAGAACAGGAAGGGAATATACGGTTTTCAGCTGCCATGTGGCTATTTCGCCAGAATATGAGTTTTATGTTATTTTTGTTAATTTTATAATGTTAAACTGTAATAATAACAAATAATTGTTGAGAAGCAATTATCGAGAACTGCTTATAAAAGTTTGCATTGTTGTCAGGCCCTGCCCTGCCCCATCCCCTGCTCCCCCCCCATGTTGTCCTGCTTTACAAATGTTAAAATCTGGTCACCCTACACTTAGATGATTTAAACACCAGTAGCATGTTTGAGTTATAAACAGACAGTATCTGCCTCATGGCAGATGCTCAGAAATGTTTTTGGATGAGCATTAAGTTTTGTTTAATGTATGTACTAGAAAAGAACTAATAGTGTTAACATACTAGAAAAGAACTAATAGTGTTAACATAGAGCAAAGTATGTGACTGTGACAATAATGGGTGTGTTTTCTAAACTAATTAATCTTAATTTTCAGCGTGCTCAAGCAGTTCTTCAAGCTGTGACAGCTGTCCAGACAGCAAGTACTCCTCTTAGTGGCACCACAGTTAGTGAGAGTGCAGTGACTCCAGCCCAGAGTCCAGTACTTAGAATAATTATTGACAATATGTACTACCCTGTAACACTTGATGTTCTTCACCAAGTAAGTTTAATTTAATTTGCATACTTAACTATAATTTAGATAAATAATAACATAGATAAATAATGTCTTGATTTTAATGTTTTAACAGATATTTTCTAAGTTTGGTGCTGTGTTGAAGATAATCACATTTACAAAAAATAACCAGTTTCAAGCTTTGCTTCAGTATGGTGATCCAGTAAATGCTCAACAAGCGAAATTAGTAAGTGTAGAGCTTCTTTGGCCATAGTGATATTTTTTTTCATTGAAATATACATATTTCTGTGTATGTCAATATAGCTAATTTTATTAATCCTGTCATAATTTAGCAATATCTGTAGCATTATAGATGGTAGAAATTGATGGCACTAAAATCGTATTAGGAAACCTTAATATTTGTCATAAAAAGGAAATATTTTTAGACTTAAGCTTTATGTATAACTTAAGCTTGTATTTTATTTTTGTTTGATTTAGGTACAACAAAAGTTTTGTGCTTTTGAAAAGGTAGCGGTATTGTATTTTGAATACATACCTATTAAGATTTTAAGTGGTTTCTGGAGGGAGTTTCAAAGTAATAAATTTGATTTTCAAGATAGTTTAGCTGAAATATATTAATACAGATGTGACCCAAATGCTATCCTTGGCTCTCAGTTTTTTTAAGACTGTTTCCTATGTTCTTCTTAAATATCTTGTTAGAAAACAGATTTTCTGAGTAGATTTCCTGATTACTTTTTATTCCCATCATTTGTCTTTTTCGTCATTGTTATGTATGGGTGAAATATAATTTTAAAAAGTAAAATTTTACCATTGGAAACTATACACCACATCTTTGTTTCCAAATGCGTCAGTTGTCTTTGTGTATCTTAAATCTGCTTGCCTTTGTCTTTTTAACTTTTGGTGTCATGTATCTCATTATCATTATTCCATTATTAAGCCATTAAAATTCATTATTAAATCATTATTAGGAAACCATTAAATCAACTGTCTTTACTTTGTCTTACCTGTTTTTCTCCTGTTTATTCTTTTGCTTTCAAATTAAGATCTCTAATGCTTTTTTCAGATCATGATTACTTCCATGGAACCCAGAATATTTCTTATTACTGTTTCCTTATATTTACATCCTCAGAATCTCATTTGGGGAGCAAAAACAGGGTTAGGTAGCAGGAAAGCGGTACACGTAATAATGCACCAAGTGCTATGAGCTCATTTTATTCTAACCACGATTTTATATTGTAAACAGAACAAGTTTTGCTTCCTGTGTTATAAGGGCATGTTAAAATTGAAAGAGGTAAATAATTATCATATTGCATACTATCTACTATCTTTAAGGTAAACATTTCAATCTGCCTTTCAGATAGCCTTTCTTTTCAGTGTGTTGCTACTCAGTGGTTCTTAGGTTGTATAATCTAACCTTATTACACTTGCCTTTTAAGGCATAAGTTAACAATTAGAATTCTTTTTTTTTTCCCAAAAATAATTATTATTCGCGCATCATAGCCTCCCAACTTTGGAAATATATTTATTGAGGTCCCAAAATCAGGGTGGTGTATGAGGTTTTATCAGTGACAGACAATCTAGAAGCCATGGTTTTTGTGTTGGCATTTTTTAAACTCCAAACACATTTACATACAGTGTACAATTTGTTTTCTGCTTAATTTTTTGTCTGGCAGATAATTGTACATCTTCATGGTTCACATATTGATGTCTCCACAAAATACAATGTATAGTGATCAGATCAAAGTAATTAGTAGGTCCAGGTATGGTGACCTGTAGTCCCAGCTACTTACTCAGGAGGCAGAGGTGAGAGTATTGCTTTATGCCTAGGAGTTTAAGACCAGCCTGGCCAATATTTCAAGACCTCATCTTTCAGAATATAAATTCTTTGACTTTACTCACATTTTCCCTGTAAGAATGCCACATGAGTAGATTAATACCTATTTATAATGCCTTTATAGCAGGGTAGTGAATTAATAGTTATTTTATTCTGGCTGATAAAATTGATAGTGGTTTCCACTTTTATGTGATAGATGCCTTACCTGACTTAAATGCAATTCATATCCTGATGTATATGAAGTCCCTATGAGTTTTCACCAATATATATTTCAGTGGGTGAACTTATGTTGAATGTTTTTTTAGGTTAGTTTTTACCTTGGTAAATTTAGTCATATAAACCTTAATTTTGTATATTAAGGAAAAGATTTTATATTTCCAGAGAGTAGGAATATTTGAATTAAAAGCTATAAAAAGTGTATATACTTAAGTTACTGTAGAAGTTTACTTTGTCCATAACAGGACGTGCTTATCCTTCTAAGGAAAGATTAACAATATATTCCACCGTTGTCTGGTTTGTTCCCAGCTTATATTCAGCTGTACTAGAAATGGTAATCATTCAGGACCTGGAAGAAAAAAGATAATTGTAACAGTAGCATAGTCCTATGTAATTCATACTTTAACATCCATGATTTTGTATTTAGTCCTGTGAGGAAGAATAGCAGCATTATTATCTGTTTTCTAGGTTAAGAAATTGAGCTGCAGGGAGGTTAAGTTGATCAAGATGACCTAATTGAGGCTAGGCTTTTAAGTCTAGCCCTGACACTCTTCTGTTCTGGAACTGTCCTGGAATGACATTAGATTTGCTAATTTTATCAAGGTATTCTGACTAAGGTTGAACACTTCAGGTTAAGAACAATAGTGGGGGGGGGGGTTTGCCCCGTTTTCTGGAAATTTCTTTTGCCTTAGTGAAACAACCTCATGTAATGGGCCATCAAACAACAGTTAACCTTTTAGAGCTATACCAAATTATATATATATAAGTACTGCCATGCAGCAGTAAATGTACGTGTAGTAAAAGTAACTTCATTGTGCAGACATTGGTATGGTACTGCTTTGGTAGGACTGAAGACCTTCGGTGTTACATGGATTCTTAACTGGTTGTATTTTAGATTTAAGTAGCATTTTTTTTTTTTTTTTTTTTTTTTTTTGAGACAGAGTCTTACTATGTCACCCTGGGTAGAGTGCTGTGGTATCACAGCTCATAGCAACCTCAGACTCTTGGGCTTAAGTGATTCTCTTGTCTCTACAGGTGGCTGCCACAACACCCAGCTATTTTTGCTGTTGTTGTAGTTGTCATTGTTGTTTAGCAGGGCCTGGTCGTGTTTGAACCTGCCAGTCCCAGGGTATGTGGCTGGCACCCTAACCACTGAGCTACAGGTGCCAAGCCTTAAGTAGCATTTTCTATTTAAAAGATAGTTTTAGGTGGAAACTAACACATGTACAGCAAAGTATGATGTATGAAATTTGAATCATCTTTCTGGTGGCTTTTATGAGCAGGTTTTCATTATTGAGTTCTGTTGTCAAAATCATAACTTTTGCTAATTTTTTTTCCTTATTTTAGATTGCTGATCAACTTTTTTTTATTGTTATAGGCCCTAGATGGTCAGAATATTTATAATGCTTGCTGTACCCTAAGGATTGATTTTTCCAAACTTGTGAATTTGAATGTAAAGTACAACAATGATAAAAGTCGGGATTATACTCGACCTGATCTTCCATCTGGGGATGGGCAACCTGCATTGGACCCAGCCATTGCTGCAGCATTTGCCAAGGAGACATCCCTCTTAGGTATGATGTTTATTGTCTATACCACTTTTTCCCATTTTTCAAATGGGAAAGTGCCTATTAAATTCCAGTAAGTATAATGAATCCCTATTTAGGACCTTTACAAATTCTGTTAGGTTTCATGAGTTTTGTTTTTCTCAGGTGAGAAAGCATATGTATGCTTTTAGAAAAAACCTAAAGTGTACTTCATAAGTATAACTAAGTTATATTAGTTTTGTTCCTTTTACCACCCTCACCTTTTCTTCTGTACCACTCCCAAAACAGAAGAAACGCTCTAAGAAGAAATATTGTTGAATTGTTAGTGAAATGTTTATACTTGTCATACTGTCTCGTCTAAATCTTAAGTATAAGGGCCTGTGCCTATTCTTTAGGGCCATAATCTGACTTTAAATTTAGTGCTACATGAAAAGAGTGAAGTATTAATAGAAAAAACATATGTAATGGGAATAGGCATCTGGATGTTTTCAAAGCACATTATAGCCCCTTTGAAAAATAATTTAAACTTAAAGAAATTTTTTTATAAAATTAGTTTTGCTATTTGCATTTTGTCTTAATTTCACTTTGTCCTACAATGGTTTGAGCCACCTCATTAAAATACAGTGCAAAAAATACACAATTAGTAGTTGATGAGTCAAGATAAAGGACTCATCATTTTAAAATGTTAGTTTGTAAGTAAAATGAATGAAGTGACTTAAGTTGGAATTTTATAGTTTTATTTGATGTGTGTGGGAAATTGTTTATTGATTTCTAGTGTTTGTATAATTATTTTTAAGTCAGGATTTTTATTCATATGGAATCCATAATTGGTGGTTGATACAATAGCTCTTACAGTTTGTTACATTCATCATTTTAAAAAACAATGAAGTAATTCTTTGAAATATTTATTTAATGTAGATACATTAAAGTCATGCTGTCCACTGGTAAATAAGAAATCTAAGTGACACAAATGTGGAGAGACATTCTGCACAAGAGAAACAGTGGATACTTGAAATTAATTCTGGTGACTTCAAACAAATCTGGCCCTTTCTTGTAATTTTCTGAAATAGTTGTCATAAGTCATAGCTATTTATCATAACTCTTAATAGATGCTTTAGGTTGCTTACCCTCTTTCCTTGCAGAATCTCTATCACTATGTGGACCTAGTCTAAACATTAATTCCCTTGATTCTGGTTACTAATCAGTAAGATTGACTATTTCACAGTATGCCACATACCGTTTTTAAAGGGAAAGTCAAGAATGAGACAGTGATGAGTGAAACATAGCTCTCACTTAATATTATAGATTTTTAAACTCTTAGAGAAGAAAAAAGAGTCAGCAGTTGTCAAGTAGCTTCTATGTCGTAGGCATTCTGCTAGGCACTTGGCAGATACATTATTTAAATTATGCAAATAAAGTAAGTGATGGCATCAAGATGTTACTGTAGTTTCTAAGAAGTTTAGAAATTCACATGCAACTCATTAAAGAAACAATTTAAAGGTAAAATACCAAGAGTCTCTAGCTAGCATCAACAAAGGACACCAGCAGTTGCTCCCTTGGACCCTAAGCAACTATGTGTATTTGCCCATCTGGGATGTTTACATGAACTAGGATCCTGTCTAGAACCATGGTTAGAAGACACCTGGATTCTTCTCATGAGGAATTCATCACTGTTTTCTCAGTGATCTCATAACCTTAGTGAACTTTTTAAAAAAAGTAATAATAAGGTCTTCTTCATAAAAGATGATGAAGTCTCAGAAATACTTTGTTTTACTCTGTACTTTTAAAAAGTTTTTAAGTGTTTTACATTTTTGCATTAAAAACATTAAGCTTTAGTTCTTGATAAGTTGTCTAGTGTCTTCCAGCTTGGTGTTGAACTTTTTAGTGTAATGTATTTTTGTTTCTCCATCTCTGCTTCATAAGAAAAAGGTAAATGTTTTGTAAAAATATGATGACTTTATCTTCTTTGCCTAGATGACTTTTATTTTTTACTTGTTTAATGGTTTTCCATTTTGTAATTGAGCTTTTAAAGTATTCTCAAATAATTTTTGAAATTAGGTAGGTTATAAGTTTTAAAAATCAAATACTAGACTCCCTAGTTTGGATAATTTACAGGATATAACCACTACTTCTACATTTTTTGATGAAAATACATATCTGTGTATAAATTAAAATTGTACTGCATTTGTAATTTTTTATGTTTTGTTGTAATTGTCATTTTACTTAGCATTTTTAAAAAAGATAGTTTTAATACTTCCATAGCATGCTAATGAGTATATCATACTTTTCAAAGTGGACATTTAGTCTATTTCTGTACTAATGACTTTATATGGTACATGACTTTTTTGCCTCTTAAAATGTTTCCTGAGACTAGATTTCTAGAATAAGAATAATTGGGTCAAAAAAAAATGTTAAAGCCTATTGATATTATTTGCAAATTTCTTCCTAGAAAGGTGATACTACACTAACATGAATGGTATGTAAGTCTGGCTGTTCTACTTTCCCCCCACCAGCATTATTTTTAAATTTCACGAAATATTAATTGGATAGGAAAATACCTTTAAAGATCTAGTTTGCAGTTTTTAAGTACCAACCTAGTATTTACAGTTCTCTAAACTGGTTATCTTCATCCTTTCTGTTGGAATGTACTATAATTTTTATAAAATGCTTATTAATGATATTATGTTCATGTTTCAAAATATGAGCTGGCCATCAGCTTTATCCATCTATTTTAGACCAGTCAGTTTTTAGAAAGCTATTTTAAAATAATTTACCTCTTTGAGGAACTAATCTTAGTCCAAAAGTACCTGTTTGTCAGACATAAAGAAAATTTTTTTCCACACATTTGGTGGATATGATGATCTCTAGTAGGAGGTACTTACTGTTTTTTGTTTACATGGTTTTCAGACACACTTTACAGTGGCATCCAGTATTGCATTATTGAAGTCATGTCTTTTAGAATAACTAAATCTTTTCTGTGTTTCGTCCTCTCATAATATTTGAACAGGTGACTTCAAAGTATAAATAACCAAACTGCTGTTGAGGAAGGGTTCGTTGCCTGCTCAGTCTTCCTCAGATAGTTGTTGTTCAGAATAAAGTAAGTGATAGAGTACCCTTTAATTTCAAAGATTTTCTAAGAACACAAATAAAAAGTGCTAGTCTTCTGCAAAATATTTGAGGGGTTTTACTTTATCTTAATAATAATTATATCTAGCCACTTGATTGAATTTAATTACCTTTGAAATCAATATTATAAACTTCAACCGATTTATTTTGCATAGTAATTTTTTGAGACTAGTGTTTATGAGGTTAGCAGTTGAGTTTGCAAACTCATTCTAGCAAAAGTACTATATACCTTATCCTAGAAAAGGTGCCGCATACCTCATTGCTGAATATCACTATGATCACCTTCAAAGTACTCCCCTTGGGGAGCTATGTACCGATGCCACCCCACCACCTCATCCAGCATTCAGAGCAGTGTTTCTAGGATGAGTTCAAAAACTTAATTGTCGGATTTTCATACAATAACTGATGGCCAGGCCGGAAAAAAGAGTTCCAAAAATGTTCTGAAGAGTGGTGTAGACACTGGCATCAGGGCATGACTTTCCAAGGGAAGCACTTAATAGGTGACCATGGTGATATTCACAGTGAGGTTTATAGCACTTAAGATGAATTCATGATCTTAAAGTTGTCAGACCTTGTGTTAGTACTATGAATTCTATATACCTACATCATCTTGGTTCAATAGTGCCTATACTTGTTTTCATGTATTATTATTTTTTTTATATTATGTTTAAAACAAATCTTTGACATTGTGATGTGTCTTCTCAAATTTTATCCATGGTATCTTTAAAATAATTGCATTTTCTTACCAAACAATAAAATGATTATCATACCAAAAGTGAAGACAATTCTTTTTTTTTAAGACAATTCTTAATATTGTCACATACTCAACTCCTAATTAAAATTTCTCCAGTTATCTCAAATATATTTTTTAGGGTTTGATTTGTTCATAATAGGATCCTGTCAGGGGCCATAGGTAGTCTGGGTTGTTATGTCTCCTAGTCCCTTTCAGTCTGTCACAGTCTTTTCCCTGTACCCCTGTACCCCTGTACCCAATTCATTTCTATTTACTTAATGAAGAGACCCAGTTACAAGATCTTTTAGAAAATTCCAGATTAGATTACTCTATTTCCTTGTCTGTCTTTTTTTTTTTCTTTAGCTAGAATACTTTATAGGTCTTTATACTTTGTATCATGTCTCCAGAGAGGTGTACAATATCTGGTCACCCCACTTTTAGTGATTTTAGTAATGTCTTAAGACTGGTTGTGGTTTTTATGACTTTAATCTGCTAATGATTGCTGCTTTAATTTATTGCATGGGGAGGTTGCAGATACTACTCCGTTCTACATATTCCTTCACATATTCACTATTCCTTCTACATTAATTAGATCGAAATCTTTCCCTTTATCAGTTAGAGCTGTCTACGTTGGTTTGTGCAGGACAGTGAGATTCTTGGGTTTACTTGTTGATGCCCAGCTTTGTTTGTAAGTAAGTACATCATCCAGTTTCTGAATGGGTACAACATAGATTCTTCCCAACATTTGCTTTAAACTTCAGAAACTTTTGTCTGCTTACAGGTTCTAGTAGCCAGAGTGGTTTGAAATGATAACCTTAGCTTAGAGGTGAGCATTTTTATTTATGTAATTATTTAATTTTTTCTGCCTAATGGCCCCCAAAAAGAAAAGTGGCAGAAAAGGGCTAAATGAAGTTTAATTAAACTCTAGGTATCTTTTTCTCAAAAGAAATTTATCCCCATAAAATAAAGGGCCAGGAAGAATTAATATTTTCTCAATAAATACAAATAGTTAAATTATTTTTCTCTTACAACTAATTGTGAGGTAAAAATAATGTCCAACTAAGAATCTAAGTTACTTATTCAATTAAAGAGTTAATATCCTTAGGTGTTTTTTTGTTGTTGATGTTGTACACGTGTGTACGTTTAGTCAGAGCTGTGAAGTGTTCAT